ATCTCTACTGTGGTGAGAAGGCATATGCTGCAGGACTGCATTAGGGCTCTCCAAGGAAGAGCGTGTACTTTCCTTCCCTGCTTTAAAGAATTGAAACAGTGTGGAAATTAGTATAATCAGATTTATAATTATAGTGTAAAACACTTATGATATTAGGCAAGGCTGGGAAAGTTATCTAATTTTCAGTCCTCAGCCCCTTGTGTTTCCCCTCCCAACAACTGTTTAACTATCTTGAAGTTCGTAACTTCCTTGTAATTGAGTACTACTGCTCTGTTTTGTTCCTCTGAAAAGTTGCTGGAAAGGCAGCAAGAGAACTTCCAGAACTTCCTGCCCCATAAAGCAGTGGGAAAGGCAAACCCTTTCTAACTTGCTAGTCAAAGGAGTGGGAATTTGCCAAAAAAGCCTTTTGCCCTAATAAGGGCACAGCTGATTTCTTTAAGAAAATGTTCCAAATTAGGTTTTGCTGAACTTCTAGTAAAACATTGGCGTGTTTCTGAGGAAGAGCCGGTAGACTCAGTGCTGTGGTGGACTTCACAGGGAAGTGCTGGCAATGGCATGGACTCCACAAGGTGGGCATATCAGAGCCTGGGCCTCCCAAAAGCAGAAAACCATGAGGACTTGTGTCCCCACAGCACCTGGTAGGTCCAGCTTCCTTCTCACACAGCAGCAAGCCCTGAGAGCCACATCTCACAGTGCAAGGTCTCCTCTCCTGCTTCACACTGGGAATTTGAATGGTTCCCACCACATCTGCTCCAGTTCTGTGCTGGAGCAGAAATTTGAAATGCACCTGGATGAAACACTTTACTGACCTGCTGCCCTTGGCCTGCCACACCCACAGCCTTGAGACATCCATCTCCCAGATGTTGTCCAGCACCAGAAACATTATATTGCACTCTGGGGCTTCAGCAGGGGGTATGATCAGCAGGTACTACAGGTCACTGTCCTTGGGTCACCAGATGTCATCCACAGCACGTCTACCTTCAGAGGTACAACCTTAAAACATTAAAACATGTCTTTCCAGGTAAGCAATGATGGACAGATAAGCTAAAGGTATAAAATCTGCCTTTTTCTCTCAGAGACCACAGTAACATTCGGCCTCATTTCCACGTCAAGATCAGGTCTGCATTTTAATGTATACATTGAGGAGACTGTGTAAAAAAAAAATCTAATATTATGCTTTTGAATAGAGAATTTACCTAAGTAAATAATTATTTTTAAACCTAAGATTTAAGCAGCTTTAGTATTCCACATTATGCTAATGTTTGACAATTACTAAGTGTGGGTATCAGCCAGCATTTTTTTTTTAAGTTTAATTTAAAGCAATTTGACATGGAAAGGTTATTACTTTAGTTGCCAATAAAAGCTGTACTTTTAACATAAGTGTACACCAAGCCCTAGGGTATGTGACTATTATCTTTTCTGCAATTATGTGGTGTTCTACATAAATGTTTAAAAAAAAAAAAAAAAAACTTAGAAATATCAAAAGTACGAACTTAGCTGCAATATAAAAGTTGAATAGCAGAGCCGGGAAGCCCGGCTCCCGCAGACACAACACAGGTTGAGGTTTCCTCCTAGAGGTACCGCCGGGAACGGCGCCTCCGCCTGCACAGCATCGCATCCCCCGCACCGCATCCCCCGCACCGCATCCCCCGAACTGCTTCCCCCTGCTCTGCATGCCCCCCACACCGCATCCCCTGCGCCACAGCTTTTCCCTTGCTAGGAGGGGAAAAGGCTTTTCTCACATTCTTCACAGAGTCACGGGATGGTTCTGGCCAGAAGGGACCACAGTGCGTCTCCTGGTCCCACGTCTGTGCTCAGGCAGGGTTCTCCTAGAATACGTAACACGGTATTGCAGCCAGATAGTTCTGGGGTATCCCCAGTGAGGGACACTCCACATCCTCTCTGGGCAATCTGTTCTCGTGGTCCTTCACTGCACAGCAAAGTTCTTCCTCGTGTTCAGGTGGAACTTCCTGGGAATCATTTTGTGCCCATTGCCTCTTGCCCTTTGACTTGGCATCACCACCATCCTCTCAATATCTTCCTTTTGGATACTTCTAGGCATTGGCATGAACCTCTTGACCTTTGTTTTTCCCTTTAAAGTGGAAATTGATGCTTCCACTTGGCTTTAGGGCTGTGTCTCCAGAAGAGACACCATGGCTGGAGCAGTGAGCCTCCCCAATAGCACGAGGTAGAGCATGGGGAGCCCCATGCCCAAGGAACAGCCACCCCACAACTCCCAACCCAAAGCCAAGTTTGGTGCTACCACACAGAAGCAGCACTGCACGGTCACAGCCCTGCCTTTGAGTGGAAATCAGCCATTTCCCTCAGGAAATGCTGTGGGAGAGGATGAGGAGCCCCAGTGCCATTGCCAGAGATCCCAAATGGATGAAGCCCTGGGTTCAAGGCCAGGTTGGAGGGGGTTTTGAACAACCTGGTCTAGGGCAAGGTGTCCCTGGCCATGGCAAGGGGGTTGGAACAAGAAGATCTTTAAGGTCCCTTCCAACCCAAACCATTTGATGACTCCAAAGGCCTGTGGAGGAGAGAGATGAAAGCGTTAGGAAGAGCCAGGCCAGCTCATACTTACAGGGAGAAAGGCACTTCCCTTCTGACACATGGTCTCCTCCAGGAGGTTTCTTTGGCCAAAGTGAGGATGCCATGAAAAACAAAAGTGCTGTGAGGGTATTTGCCAATTAGCTTGGGGACTTGGCACCAAGTGCTGTGTTCCCTTGGGCTGCTTAGTCCTGAGCCCCTCCTGTGTCATGGAGTGAGAGACATCCCCTTCCACCAGCCTCTCTGGGCCAACATGGGGCAGGGCCAAGGCCCACGTGGGCACACAGCAATGTCCCCCGACAGGAGCCAAGCCCCACATCAGCCTTTGCAGGTAAGTTCATTCCTCTACTCTGCCCACTCAGCCCTTCAAAGACAGAGCCTGGGGGCAAACAGAGCAGGCGAGACAAGCTCTAGTCCAAACACTGGAGGCTGCTTAGTTAAGAGATCATTTTGATTTTTTTTTTTTTTTTTTGAAGTCTAGGTGAGGTTTTTTTTATGTCTGGGTTTTGTTTCTAACTTGAAACTTGTGAAAATCACAGCATGACCTTTGCTGGCTGAAATTCTTCCCAAAACCAGGGCAGTGAAATTCAGCTTCCTGCAGTGCCCTGCCAGCGCCTTTTGGTTCTGAACTGCAACCATCCCCAGGAAAGGAATGGGAGTTCAGCCCCAGCAGTCCATTCAGTCTTTTGTCCTTCTGCTGGGAAAGTGAAAACACTGCTTATAGTTCCAGTGCCAGCTGCAGTTCATGTTTCAAATTAACTAAAGTTCATTATTTTACACTTTAGGTAGAAGCTGCAACAAACTGTTCACCAGCAGTCCAAGCAATAGTATACAAGCCCCTCTAGGATCCCTTGGAAGAGCTCCTGATGAGTTCACCAATGTTTGCACATTAACCTCTGGGTGAAAAGCCAGCCAGAGGGATGTGAGAACTCCACCGAGCCCTCCAGAGCATGACACAAAATGATGCAAGTGTGGGAGCTAGGAGAGAAAAGGTTTTGTGAGCCCAGAAAAATAATAAAACGTTTAAATCCTTAATTGTTTTTCTTGAAGATTTATCCAAAATCAAGCTCTACTTAAGCCTGTGACTTTGCAGAGCATTGTCAATAAATTAGATCATGCACACAAGGCAAGGATTTCAAGCCAAAAAGCTCTAGCCCTGAGTCGCTTAACAGCAACACTCCCCAGAAAAACGACTCAAGATGAAACATGAGATATGTATTAATTATCAATGGTCTAATAGAAAATTTAATGAAGACAAGTATCTTCTTGCACTTTATCCACGATAACGATGATAGTACGTCAGCGAGGCGCATACCTTACAACGTAGCAGTGAATGTCAAGTCTGAAGCCATTACAGCAATTCCCCACAATAATGGCCAGCCAATGCATGGGCTTGTAGCACTTAATCAAAGTAATGACATCCATCCACAATTATTTATGTTATGGTAACAAAGAGCTGCCAAATGCAAAACAAATGACATGAGGATTTGCAAGTGAATTTCTTCCCGTAAATTCTCCTTGGGTTATGCTTAAGGGGCCTCAGGATGGAATTCTGTCTTTATCCAGAGCGATATCAGAACCATGGGGTTATAGTGCCACATTTTACTGCCTATAAGCAATGAACCCAATGCTATCACTGAAATGAGCTCTTCAGCCAACAGAACTCTATCAATATCACTTGAGCTGGCCTTGGTTTACACCCAAGAGTTGTCTTCAGAATTTTACAAGAGGGAAAAAAATTGTTTGGAAGACGACCTTTGCTTACTTCTGTCTATCATAGAAAACAAAGACCCAGTTGTATCAACACTTAAACACACATTTAACTTAAAGTGTATGAGCAGTCCCTACTTACCTCAATGGGTTTGGATTAGAGCCATTATAATTACCAACCATGAATCTCTATTAAGTGCAGCACTGTTCTTTCAGGGGCATTTATGTGGGTGTTTGTATAAAAACACTGTCAAAAACTAAAGAACACCAGTAAATATAAAATGGCAACATACAGGTTCAAATGTAATGAACTAATTTATTTTTTTTAACACTACATCCAACTGTTTTTCACCACTCACAGATGTCACTGGAACAACTTGAATACAAAAAAATTGCCTAAGAACAATAAACTACACAGACCAGCTAATATTGATTGCTTTAAAAATGCCCCCTGTTAAACTTAAATAATAGCCAAATCTCACTACAGTAAATGTACTTTTATATCATTAAATACTAATTTAACAGAAATGTGGCTGCGCAGTGAAAAACACGAAAATGCTGGAAAACTGAAAGATCGCCCTTTTTTTTGTCTTATTTTTCTGTGCATTATATTAACACCCAAAGAAGACAACAATAATTTCATATTAGCTGGCCACGCAGTGACACAAGCCAAAGCTGGCACCAAGCTTAACTCTAACACGCGCTTTCCAAAGGCCGTGAGAGGGGAGACTGCAGGACTCTCACCACAGGCTCTGGCCACCTTCGATGACCAGGTTGTGGCCAGTCATGTAGTCCGAGGCATCAGAGGCCAGGTAGACGACGGCAGCCTGCAGGTCAGTGGGCTGGGCCAGCCTCCCAGCAGGAATGGTGGCCAGCCAGCGCCGCACCAGCGGCCGCAGCTCCTGCGAGCAGATCAGCGGCGTGTCAACGATGCCCCTGCAGCGAGCACAGGGACCAAGGGTTTAGCAAAGAGGAGGAAAGGCAGCACCTAGAGGTGTGTGAGGTGTTAGCTCAGAAGGAAAGCGGTGCAGTAGCACGAAGGAGATGAGCACATCCTGCCTGCTCTGCCCTTGCTGAAAGTCATGGTGGAAACTTCCATAGCGTTCCTTTCCTATCATCACCTTTTGCTGCTGATGGGCAGCTCAGAGGTTTCCTTTCAAGTACACATACATTCACACAATCTTCTTAGATAATAGCACAACCCTCTTACTTTTAGGTTACCCATAATTATGAGTTTAATTTTTTTTTCTAGAAAACAAGCACAGCATTGGAAATTAAAGTGCCTGGAATTGAGTCTGTCACGGCTCTTGGGAACTGTTGTCCTTCCACCAATTTCTCATCACTCTACAACTAATGTCACACAGGATGCTTGTACACAGCCCAGAAACTGAAAACAGACCAACTCCCCATATGTCAAAGAGGGGAACAAAAGCCAGCACCCTTCTGGGCACCAGACCCTTTCCACACAAAAAAAAAGAGAGGCAGAGATAAGCACAACACACCCAGTGTGATCTCCCTTAAACCAACACCTGACAAATCATACTGATTTACCTGTCTTGCCTCTTTTACATTAATGACTGACTCCACTATTTACTAAAACTCTGCTAAGTTTGTTTTTTTTCAGGTGCCCTAAAAATGATGCTGCAGGAAGCACAATGCAGGGCAAAGATTTGGCTGGCTTTTGTGACTTTAACTGCAACTGATTTGTCATACTCCTCCTTAACAACATATTTGTATTTTGTGAAATGTATAATTTTTTCAGCCCCTGAACAAATATATTTACATAACTGTGTCTAACGAGAAATTACATTTAACTTCTCAGAAATGACAATAACTAAAACCTGAACTGCCAATTCCACTTCATTAGTGTGGTAGAAATGCATTCCAAATGTTAATAAAAATTCCAACATGCTGATAAATTAGCGCTTCTAAGGAGCATGTGACACCTTGGTTAACATATTCAACCTCAATTATATTTCTCTTCAGCACCCTGTTATCTGGAACCTTTGCTGGCAATCAGAGGTGCTGTTTTTCAGCGGCCAATTTTCTAGATAATGTAGCTTATCAACACTGTGGGTAAACTTGCCAATGAAATCAGGCTGCACTGAACCACACACACGCTAATTGCATCTCTTTTTTATGCATATTTACAGACTGTCACTTCAAAGAAATCAGTGGCCCATTGAGGCAGCCAGTTAGCTGGAAGAATTGCCTCTTGCAAATGAAAATTAGCAAACAAGCTAGTGATAAATATGAAATGAACAAAGTATAAAAATACCCGTTTTGTTCTGAAACTTCATCGGCATCCCAATTTAGACTTCCAAGGAAATAATTTTTTGAGACAGACTGGATTCTGGGTATGAGATTTACCTTTTGTTTTAAATGAAGGCTGAAATTCACTATTTACTCTGTTATGAAGTGGAACTAATTCAGATTTTCCCCCAAACATTTCTGTTCTCACGAATCAGGCAGGATTTAAATATCAGCTTTGTATTTTATTGTAATTGTCAATAAAGAGCAGAGCAGTTCAGAAACACTGAGGGATGCAGCTCACTTAAGTTCTGGCAATGTAACAAAATCAAGCACATTCCAGTATAGGACTGCAAACGGTTTAGTTATTTCCTTCAAGCACAGCCCCCTGGTCTCCCTCCTTGCTTTCCCAAACTCCTCAAGAACTGGTTTTCTTCAGAGAGAAATGTGCTTTGAGCAGCAGACATTAAATATATTGAACTCCTCTCCCTTACGTGCCTCTCACTGTGCTTACAAAACCATCACCATCATCATCATCATTCTGGCTTTTACACTATCAGAGACCAGAATAAGATCCATATGATTTTCTTATTTTTCTTCATTTACAGATATGTTTTAACCCCAAGGGAATGCAGATTAAGGAATAAAACACACAGTCCTCCAGCAGAACAGATTTTGCTAAAAAGAGGACGTTTTTCAATCTGTTCAGAAAAATGATCTTTGGTCTGATCACTGCAGTCTGGAAATCACCGTGCTGTGCCTCTTGCTGGACCTTTCTTTAGGTTCACTCCACATAGCAAAAATTTAGACGTGTAACCAAACTTCACTACAAATTTTTGTTATAGAAATGAGAAAAAAAATAGAGAGCAAAACTTAAAAGTTGCAAACACACATACTGATGGCACTATAAATATTAGGCATGTCATTGATACTACACATCTTCTGGGAAAGCTTTGGTGCCAAGTTGGGCAATTTAACGTTGTCGAACCCTTTTAGGCAGATTTTAGTTGGCTCCTAACCAGTTCCAGCGAAGACAACTGCCAATGCATTAATTCCCTACCTCATCTCGTATGCAGTGCTGAGCCTATCAGTACTTTCTGTTGCATGTCAATGTAATATCAAACTGCTGGTTCCTTAATGTTAGATATGAGCATCAATATTTCATTATTGATACATAGGACAATTTGAGACATGAGGGGGGAAAAAAAAAGACCTCAAGGAAAAAAAGAGAGAAAAAAACAATTGCCTAAAACATTTCCACTTCGAGAGACACATTAGGAAAAATATCACTTACCAGATACTTAACTGGAATTGTTACGTGCACTCAATCCCCAAATGAGAGCAAAAAAAGATTCCATCTGTGTGTAACTTGATTTCTTTCAGATGAGTTATTAATTTGAATGAGTTAAGTACACTCCACTTAATCAGGAAGTGTTTAATCACAAGATCCACTTAATTGGGACATCTCCCAAGGAATTAAGATTTAAGTCCAAAGATACTTACCAGCAACGACTGCTGCTTAATGGGGATAGTAATGCTGCTTAATTGGGATGCCTTCAGGTGATGCTGGGGTGCTCCTTCTCCTGCCAGCTCTGTCTCTCCTTCCCCCTTATGGCGTGTTCCCCAGACCTGCAGTGATCCTGCCCTGCCTGTTTTCTGGGGCTATAAGCCTGATGCAGCACAGTGTGGCTGCCTTCAGAGGAGCAGGGCAGGATGCAGGGCACACAAAGGCTCTTTGCCTATCAGCCCAACCCCAAATCCCTGCAGCATTTCAGTGGGGAACATGGTTAATCCCCCAGGGCTGCTGCCCTGGATGCAAGCTGACCTTAATATCAACTTCCAGCTGCCCATCCCAAAGGTTATCACATAATGGCATGTCATGTCTTGCTAATCAAGAAGAAGGCATTAATTAGCCCAAAAAATGGACATTGATTTGGTGTAATGGCTGCAAGAATGATGTGTTCTAATGCTGCACATGCCAAAACCAGACAGCTTCCAGAATTCCCCCTTCCATCACACCCAACACACTTCCACGTCCTGGAACCAACAAAGAGACTAAGCCCTGTGGGCAGATGGGCATCAGCCACCAGTCAATGCTCTGTAAAGGTCCCTATTTACACCCAGGTACCCTCTGCAGTTCAACCCCCACATCCATTTCAGGAAGACTCCAGGACTTTCTTCATTTTTTTAGCATCAGCTGTGCAGCAGGCTATGAGGTGATGGCACTGGATGGTGGTGCTAGGACTGAACACAGGTTCCACAATAGCAACAGCAAAAGTCAGACAAAGTATCCAGGGAAATCTCAGCTGCCTTCTCTCCCTGGGCATCAGGTTTGCCTGGCCAGCAAGAGAAGCCTGCATGTTCAATTTTATAAATGCAATAAATCATCCTAAGGACTCTGTCATAACATTTTATGCATTGCTAACTTTTATGCATTGCTCTGCATAAGTTTTATGCACTCATTAAGAAATTAAGTTGATAAAAAGTGACCAGATAGGGAGAGGGGGAAAAGGCCAAAAGGTTTGCATGGTGAAATAATGTTTAAGGCCAGACTGGAGCATTTGGAGCTTCAGACAGAGGCACACTGAGAGTGCCTTAAAGCTTTTATGCAACCACGACTGTGAGGGGAAAAGTACTTAAGGACACAGATATTTTATTTATCCAGAGCTGATCTTGGGTACCATCATGCCCTGTATCTACATCTGTTCTCCTCAGACTCCTTAAAATTCCATCCTGTTATAAGATGATACTGAGGCTCCTGCTGGTGCTGGGTACTCAGATCAAGTGGGTTGAAGGTGTCCTGGTCCTCGGTGAGTCACATCAAGAGACAATGACACTAGTGGGGTCCACAGTTCTGGGGATGGCTCCAAATGTGCACTGAAATGCAGGTTCACATCTCACACAGACAGAAATATAAATGTGAATGGTTATTCACTCAGAAGCAGATGTGGCTTTTGCTCGTGTGATGAGGGATCTGAGCTCCATGAACTGCTGCAGGCTCTTTCCCCCTGCCCAGAGGTCCCCAGGCAATCCCATCATGAGGGACTCAGCCTGAGCTTGGAGTCTCCTTGAGACCAGCAGAACTTCTGGTCTCCAAAGCGGCTCAGACCAGGTTCCCACCCACATTAGGGAAAACTGCTCTGTCCAAAACAGGGGACCTCAAAGACAGCAAAATATTTATTCTTCAGGCATCCTTCCTGGCTATTCCTCCAAAAAGGCAACACATCACCCCTTCCTGTTATAAGATTTTGAGCTCAGAGCTAGAGTTTAAGACAAGTAGAGATGATCAAAGTGCAAACCTGTGTTGCCTTGGAAAGTAGAAAGAGAAGCTGTCTTTTTTTTCTCCATGCTCTGGCAACTGTCTCTAGAAACATAACTTCTCTAGAAGCGAGTGCTTGCTTCCAAGTTGTACAAAACAATGAGCTCTCATCATTTGCTGCCTACTTTTTAAATTTATGTAAGTCCATAAGAAATGGGTAATTCCTCCTGTAAGAGCCTTCTCATCCATAATTGCTGTGCCTGTGGCACAACTATCCCACCTCTGCTGGTGCAGATTACCCGTATGATTTCAGACACAATTCCTGCCAGGTCCTGCTGAGCTTCCCTAATTCCCTTCATCTCCCAGCTCCCAAAAGCCACTGTAAATTCACTGGTGCTAGTTGTGGGAACACCATTACAGTGCTGCTAGCACAGGCATGGGGAAAATCCCATTAGGAAGTAAGATGCTGTTGAAAGAATCTGTGGATCACATAGAGCAACGGCTGGAGACACTGGTATAATTAGTAATAAATAATCATAAGGAAGACAGCTAGCACAAGCAAGGGGAGAGCAGACCGGCAGTAAAAACAGAGGCACTTACCATTAAGCTCTGTGATTTTTTTTCCCCCTCCACTTTATGGATTAAAATATGTAATTTGTTTTCCCTAATTTGATCTACATTATTATCTTCATTATTACAATTTAACTCCTGGGTTAAAATCCTGCCCTTCTTAGTTACTCTGATTGACTTCAATGGTCTACAGAATTTGACCGCTTCCAATTAACGCTATCCACTTGGGTTTCTGCTCAGCACTATCATGCACTGCTAATTGTTTAATAAAATGACTGGTTGGGCATGTGTGTGAGAAACAGGGAGAGACAAAGTGGATCTGGTAGGAAAACTTTTCTTTGTGAATAAATACCCTAAAATATAGAGCTTGAAGTCTCCAAAAATAAGGAAAATGTAAGTTGTAATAAATACATATATATATTTACAAAACTACACCTGGCCTCCTGTGACTGTCAGAGCTGAACGGTAGCTCAATAACAGCAATAAAATGTAGCTTTTAAAGTGCCTATATATTTGTCTCAAGTAGAAAGGGGAAAGAAGTATTGTCTGTTAAGTGTCAAAAACCCTTTCTTTAACCACAGAAGGCTTGGACAGACTAAGGAAATATTTCATCTGGAAGGGAAATGCTAAAAACTACCCTTCACATTATTGGAAAACCTATTATCAAATGCTAAAACCTCTCCTTAAATCCCTGAGTATACACAGCAACAGAGCAGGCTTGGTTCTACGTATTTAAACCTTTGTTAAGGAAAAGACAACATAAAAAGGGATGCAATCCACCTGCTAATTAGAAATTTTATTTGCTGAGATAGTGTTCATTTGAGCTTTGTAGAACATTTCATTCCCTTTGTAGTTTCAAAATGAGACTACATTTTACTTACGGGGAAATGCAGTTGACTTTTACTCCTCTGTCAATCCACTCGGTTCCCAATGTCTGTGTTAATTTTACGACCCCGGCTTTGGAGGCGTTGTACGCCAACTGCTTCTGTGGGTGAGGGACTACAAGGGATTCAGAAGAAGAAAATTATTTATTCTTCCCAAATTAAAATAGCTCAGGCACTACACAGACAACTCCCTGCATTGAGATGAGCTATTTGCCCTTTTCCCAGGTACCAGGCGGGGAGCAGCAAGAATTCAGCCACCTACAGCACAAACCCCTAAATATGTATTTTGCCATCTAACAATTTTGTCTCGGCAGATGGGCTACTGGAAAACAATGGTGAAAATAAAAATAAAGACATTTAAAAGATCCCATATTTGGGCAAAGACAAAACCAGTATATTAAACATATACATACAATACCTCACTGCTCTAAAGAAAGATAAATAATCATATACACACATGCACATTCATATATTATAGACAAATGTATGTTTTATATACTTTTACACTGTAATACTAACAAAATATATTATCAAATCATTATAAAATATTATATCATTAATATGTCCAATATATATTATGTATTCTATGTTATGTAATATATGAATATTATTTATAATATTATATGTGGTAGATAATATTTGATGTGATAGCTGAATGTAATATTAAATTGTTTGATATGACATTATATGATAGAATATATATAAGTGCATAACAGATTTTATATAATATATTATATATAGCTTCTTGGAACAAATTATTCTCCCTAATTTTTAAATTATCCATAGTCTGAGGCAAACACATTATCTAACTAATGTTTGTGTGGATGTGAACACAGGTGCATCCCAAAAATTCAGAACACCCACCACTTTCAAAATCTGAAGCTTTTGAAAATGTTTCAGAGATGTCACATGTCAGTCAGAGACAGAAAATGATCAGCTTGCTAATTACAATGTTCAAGCTTGTTAGTGCCGTGTGCTCGGGTGGCTCTGCCCCTCTCCAGCTCAGTGAAAGCTACTTAAGGACAAATCCCCAGTGGGTGTAAAGTGCTTTAAACCCACGGGAGTCAATCCAAGTCAGTCCAGGTGTTGGGATTTACACCCACAAAGAATCTCTCCTTGGACTTCTCTGGCTGTCACTAGGACTTCATTAAACAAATCCAGTGCAAAGCATCCATCCATAATTAGCTCTGTATCAGTGCAGAGCTTCACTGAGCTGCTGACTCTGATGGAGGGAGGGAGGGGAAAATCAGGGCAAATATCAGTAGTCACAAAGACAGGCAATTCCAGCCTGGGGGGTTGGATAACACTGAATCCTGGAAGAAAGGGAATCACTGTATTTGTGCAAGGTTCAGCAGCCAAACCCCAGCTCCCAGCATTTTGATAAAAGCACATAAGCAGCACTGGTAGCTGGCATTAAACTGGTCTCAATAAATTCAGCTGATGCATCAGTTCTATATCACTCCCACCCATGGCATCCCAACACTCCCACTACTGATTTTATTGACTTGGGTTTGAATATGTCAATGTTAAGGGTGGAAAGAAGGTGGTAACTGAGTTACCCAAACTCTGAAAAAGCCAAAAAGCCCTGCTGTAAATTAGTGAGCATGTGAACAAAGACCTTTGCCTTGAACAGATATGTTTGTGAATAGATTTAAAGTGCACACATGACGGGAGCAACAATTAGAGGGGGTTTCTTTGGGTATATGATGCAGGTTTGCTCAGAATTCAGAGGCCTTTTCCCTGGTAAGGAGAGAGTTTCATACCATTGCCCTCCTCTGCCAGCATTTATTGTGTGCTCTTTTTTGCTCAATGTGAAATAATTTGCATTTTGACCAGCAGAACTGCTTTGCCCTCAGTGTGTGCCTGTTGCCCCCTGATGCAGAGCACCGTGGGGGCTCTCGAAAAGATGTGGAACGTAATTTCTTGATTAATTGCCATGCATCAGCTCCAAGTTACATACAACTTCGGTAGTTAACCTTGTAACCTCCCAAAAGCAGTTCTTTGCTAAACTTTCCAAACAAGTCTGTCTGTGATAAATCATTTTGGTGATCACTTGAGGAGAGGATTTCTGGCACTGGCTCTGCACCTACAGCACCTGTGGGTGAGAACAAGTTGCTGCAAGCCACAAGAATCAGCTTCTGACTTGGGGTGGGTGATGAGACACTGTTATCAAAAGTCCTTCCATGGAAGCGAGGACACATTCCTATTCAAGACAGACGATAGGAGAAAGCAGATAAAAATTCTGCCAACATTAGCTGCGTTATGTTTTAAACACCTTTGTTCTGACTTTGGTTGGGATAGTTTTGTGGTTTTTTTCCCCCAGGAACTGTTACCGTGCTGTGTTTTGGATTTAGGACAGGAATAATAACACACGGATGGTTTAGTTGTTGCTGAGTGGGTCTCACTCTAAATTAAGGACTTTTCAGGGCCTCATGCTGCCCTGCTAGCAAAGAGGCTGGAGGCAAAAGAACCTGGGAAGGGACACAGCCAGGACAGCTTTCTCTAACAGGCCAGAGGGATATTTCAAATCACATGGCATTGTGCTGGAAACTGGAGTGAGTTGACTGGGCCCTGACTGGGCATTGGTCAGTGGATGGTGAGAAACTGCACTGTGCTCCACTTGTTTTTTATGTTCTTTTTTTCTTATTATTATTTGCCTCTCCTTTTCTGTCCTAATAAACTGTCTTTATCTCAACCCAGAAGTGTTACCTCGTTTCCTAAATTCTCTCTCCCACCCTTGGGGGGAGGGAGGGAAGGGCTGTGGGGTTATTCCACAATAACCTGACACTGCTGTTGCACCTTTGTTTGGTGCATCAGGTTCCCAGCCTGACCTTGAAGCAGCCACACAATGTTAACGAGAGGTGCACACAGAGCAGAGCAGACCACTTCCCACTAAAGATATTCACTGTAAAAATTACAGCTCTGAGTTACACCTGTGTGAACCACCGAGCCGCCGCTGCTGGAGCGTGCGCCTGGAATAATTCCATTGGAACACCAGAATCAAAATGCACATATGCAAAATGTATGCAGCTTATCTCCCATTAATTAAAGCTGATTCTGAGCAATGTATCTGGAAAAATCACAAACAAAAACCTCCCTATCCTGCTAAGTGTCTCCTCATTTTCCTGTATCTCTGAGGAAGGACTCAACCTACAACAACAACAAAAAAATATCCCCTAACTATTTCTAGAAACATTTCATACTATGCCAGTTGGCCAACGTACTTAAATAACCAACCAACCAACATATTTATTTAACATTCAGCAGATGGACATGATATGAACATCGTGGTTTTTCAGTCGTAGTTTCATAACTACTAGATTTTTTCAATGCCAAGATTCAAACAGGTTCAGAAGGTAAACACATCTCTCCATCTCTTAACTTCTGGCCTAGCATGCATTAACTTTCATTGACATTCAAATGCATCTTGGGATGACCCTTCCAGGCTGCTCTCAGGGCTGCTTTCCAACGTTCCTTCCTGTTCCAGGACAGGTATTTGGGTTCCAGCCCCCAAATGTGCTCCCCAGGTGGAGCTCTGGCCTTGGCTCAGAGTCCTCCTTGGCTCACCAGTCAAGGAGGTGCAGCCCCAAGCTGGGGCTGGGATGGATGCTGTGCTGGAATGGCATCACCATCCAGCTCACTGTGCCAAGCCCCGATGGAAAAGTTGGAAAATGCCTCTCCTTAGGCAGAGCAGACCACTGCTGGGCTGGGAGCTGTGTGCCAAATCAGCAGATCTCCAGTTTGTGCCAATTCCCAGAGCTTCCTAACTTCCTCCAGGATGGACTACATCCCAGGAAATTTTGCTTTGTGACAATGATGTGGATGGTGACAACCCAAGCACAGACCAGAGCCCGACTGCTCAGAGCAGAGCAGGAAAGCCTGAGATATTTGAAATTTAAAGCCTCACAATCTTTTCAGAACTACTTTTCTTGGGGAGTTTTTGTAACTTTACAAACTGGGATGGAGAGATGGTGCCTGTGTTTAAGCATAAGTAAAACAGCTGGTAAAGACACTCGAAAAAAATATTAACAACAACATTATAAATGGATTTTTGAAGAACCATTTAAAGTTACTGTGCAATAAACTGAATAGAATGACATAGAATGTCAAACTGGGCACAATAAAAATAAACGTTATTCCAAAGGAAAATAAAAAGACTGCATATTTATGTAACATTCAGCAGATGGACATGATATTAATACAGGGGTTTTCAGTTGTACTTTTATAGCTACTAGATTTTCTTGCCTAACTTGGCAACCCAAGGCACCATTTGATTTTTGGATTTGGACAATACTGCAACAGATGTCCAGACCAATAAAATAAATTCCTAAAGGGCTATGCTTAATTTGTGTAATTGATCAATTTTTGTTACATGGGCTTCAGCTCAGCAGCCTTCCAGATTAGCTCAGCAGTAGGGATTTCATTCCATATGTTACAATGGTTTATTGGCCCTTTTGATGACACTGCTGATTCAGCAGCATTGGTGCAGGCACCTGTTGGCAATGAGAATGTTATAAAACCCACGGGTACCAGGGCAAATATTGGCACAAAATCCTTTGGGTGGCTTGTAAGCATCTTGTGGGCTCAGCTTCCCACATGCCAAGGAGTTTGCCTGGACCAGCATGGAGGGAGCAGCACCTCTCCTGTGGTATCCGTGCTCCAGAGCCAGAAAAGGTGACTCCACCCTTTCTATAAAAAGTAATAAGTGCTCTAAAACATTGAGGACAGATAAATGTTGAAAAATGGTATCAATAAAAATTTTGTAGTACATTTCCTCTAATATGAAATGTCAGTGATTTACTCCTTCCCAATACAGGTTTAATTGATTCAAATAGCATCGGTAGTAATTAAAATATGGATTCTGAAGCACAACTGTTAGCTCTCATCACTCACCTATTAAACTTGCCATAGATGCTGTGTTAATTATCTTCCCATATCCTTGATTCAGCATAATGCGGCCTGCAGCCTGTGACAGAAATTAAAGGAAAGACCAGTGACCCTTTCTGTGATTGTGCTAATAATGACATGATAATAAATTAGTCTTTTCAGAAGAGTGGATGTGCTAACACTTTTTTTTTAAGCACCTGATATAAAAACTTGGTATAAAAATGGCTGATGCAGGAAAAAATCCCATTGCCATTTCACACCTCTCCACTGTTAGCAATATTTTTTCCAAAAAATCTCTAATGTTGGGAATTCCCCCCTCCAAGCCTTCTGGTTTTCAAATAACTACCCTTCAAAAAAATTTTGGCTTTCTTTAATGCCTGGGCTTGGGTAGCCAACAAGTACCAGCTACTTTTGAATGTATTGCCCAAAATCTGCAATTGATATAAAGCAAATCTCTCCTAAACTCCACCAAAACTAGGACCAATTTTGTTGTGATAATTATTAATAAAGGGTTATTTTATCTTGAGATAAAGTAAGCACTTAGAATATTAATACCCATTTGCAAAACTAACCAGTGCAGTATTTCACACTTACTTGGCAGCACAAGAATAATCCTCGTAAATTAACATTAAAAGTTTTGTCCCATTCCTCCAGGGAAGTCTCTTCACTTGCAGAGTTCAGATTGATTCCTGCATTGTTGCATGCAATGTGGACTGTGCCCCAGCGAGCCACAATTGCATCCACCATCCTTTGCACATCCTCAGGTTTGCTTACATCTGCTGCCAGGGCAAGGCTTTTAATGCCTGCATTGAAACAAGAGTGATGGAGTCAGCATAGGAATTCACAGGGAAAAAAATATTTGATTTTATGATCATTCTTAATTCGTAGAGAGAGAGAGATATTTTATATGTGGCTGTATAATATAAATATAAATATAAATATAAATATAAATATAAATATAAATATAAATATAAATATAAATATAAATATAAATATAAATATAAATATAAAATAAATATAATATATAAGAATATATTACTATATAAATAAAGACTATATGACTATATAAATATAGATATAAATCTTAATATATAGATATATTCCACCTTAATTCATTGCTCCACAAATAGCAGCACAACGTGTGTTTTTTACTGCAATACCATTATAAAGTTGCTGGAGACCAGGCTGGAGCCCAGGTGTTGGAACTAAGTCTGCCTCTCGGGCAGGACGAATCTTGGAACACTGCACCATCTTCTGTCCAAACCCTCAACTGCAGCTTCCCCAGCTCCTGGCTGCTCTACAGATGCTTTTCTTATGCCCGGTCCCCTCCAAGATGCTACAGAAATCGAATTAATTTGTCCCAGACTGCTCTCTGGATGAAGTACAGCATGCAGAGAGCTGGGAGCCTCAGACAAAACCAAAGCAGTTTTAGGTGGGAGCCGAGTGGGAATACCTGCAGGGGCACAGGTATGGCAGTCATAGTGCCTTCTCTACTGGAAATCACACTGCCAGAATAATGCAAACATTGGGAAATAAAGAGATTTATCAAATCTTAAACATGCAGAAGTTTTGCTTTTTTTCCTAAAATAGTCCAGCCATTGACTTTTGCACCAGTGTTGATCCATAAATAACTTCATTTAATTAATTATAAAAGTCAGCTTTAAATAGCCTTATTGCCCAACAACAGAAGAAGACTGCTGAGGCATCTGCTGCCACTGGGATTACACCCATCCTCAAAGCCAAACAAGGCCACACCAGTAAGGGCTGTGGTGAAATGGGTCTTAATTAAGGAAGGAGGGAGGCAGCCACTGGGGCTGGACCATGGTCAGCAGCCTGGGTAAGAAGTTGCAGCTATTAAAGCATTATATTTTTCTTCTACATAAATAACAAATTTGTTCCACACTGGACCCTCTTTTAGATCATTCTGATTAAACATTTAAAAGAAGAGATTAGCCTGTTCGAGGAGGAGACTCTCCCAAAAGGAAGCTGACATGGAGGTTCCCAGGAAAGCAAGGCAAAGCAGGAATTGCCCAGTGGTGTGGGTGAAGAAAGTGGCAGGAAAGAGGCTTTTGCATGGAAAATCTCCTCCTCATCTCCAGTGCCTTCAGGAGCTGTCAGAGTGCACAGCCCAAGGTGATGCTGCTCTGGGGTGCTGGGGCAGGGGAGCTCCTGCCCCTTCAGTGATGACACTGTTCTCTTGATTTCCATGGAGAGAAAAAATACAGACAACTAAAAAGTGGATGCACGCTCTGCCACAAAATAAGACTTCTTATTTTATCACAGGTTTTGTGTTAATATGCTGAAAGAATAAGAATAGCCAGACATCCCCTGTTGCTCCTCCTAATTGTTATCAAGACATTTAACACACAGGGAGTTGCTGCAATCTTTCTTTTTCAATTTACAGACAAAATGGGTGCAAGTGTGTTACTAATGGTAACAGAAAGACTCTTCACCTGCCGTCCAACTCTCACCCCATTTAGAGCTTCATCTTATAGGTCAGTTTATAAAAATGAGACAAAAGGTGCCACATGTGAGTGTCTAGTGAAGAAGCAGTGAAACCACGCTCACTTCAAACCAGAGCTCCACACTCAACCTTAATCAATTCAGCTGATATTCTTGCACTTTGAGAGGGGGGAGGAAACCACTTTCTGTCTCTCCATTGTTCCCCCCAAACCACCTGTTAAAAATAATAAATAAAACTATGGAAAAATAGCTTCAAATCTACAGACACAACAGGCTGGTGCTGCTGGGGCCAGTGCCTCCCCACAGCACTCAGCTCAGTTTTGTGGGGCTCATTGGAGGCTGTTTTGTGATGAGAGGGGCAGGAGAGGAGCCCAGGGGCTCCATGGTGGAGACAATCACTGTGCTGGATATGCCTGAGGTGTCCTTCTGCAGGTACACACACACGTCCCCCTGCCACGGGCTTCATCTCTGGTCTCTCGGTATAAATGGAAGTAACATGTTGCATATAGACAAGAAGATCAGGAGTGACATTGCACAAGGCATTTGCATAGTTTACAGTGAAAATGCACATTTTAAAAATCCCATCAGACTAATTCTTCCCTTAGGGTACAGGCAGTGATTCCCCCTGAAGACAGAGGTGTGTGTAGTGGAAGGTAACCCTTAGGATTTTTTGGTTGTGTTTCATCATTTTTGGTTCTTCAGTCAGGATCCATTAGTAACTGTTGAAAAAGGTATTCACACAGGATCTAAAAACAAAGAGCCCTGCAGCCAAGGGACGTACACCCGAGCTGTCTGACAAAGCTAAAACTGAGATCACAGGCGTTCTGATGTTTAAAACTCATCATGAAATGATGGCACCATCCCAAAAGGCAGGAAAGGGCTCCTTGATATAAGAAGCAGAGCAGCTCTAAGCAAGCTAAGCAAAATGTTTTGAAAAAGTATCAGTATGGGAATGACTTGGGGCACTGAGCTTCCAACTTTGAGTTAGAGATCTACAGCCATAGAGGAGAATAAAAAAATCACAGCCCCTTTGTCCTTATTACAGCAGGAAAAATACGTATTAATGTTATGATTGCTTCAATTTACTCATGTGAATATTTTGAGAGTAAAGCTAGCTGAACCTTTTTGTCAAAATTTATTTCCAACAGAGCATGATACTTCTTTGAAGCCAAAATGTTTCATGGAAACATTGATTTCAACAAAAAGTTTTCAAGGGAAAGCTTCTGAGGTCCAGGCTAGAATCTCTAGTTACCTCTGGAGAGAAAGAGATTGAAAACCTGACCTTTTCAGATCCTTTCCAAAAACGGGCATTTGGATATAATTCCCTTTCACAAAAGCTTTACAAAGTTTGGGGGTTGTTCCAACAGGGAATGACAATAAATTCGAAACCTCAAAACCCATCATGAGACGGAAGAGATGTGCCCTGACCAGCTGCACTGGTCAAATTGATAGATAATATTTGACCTCAAAGGATAAAGAAGTGAGATTTTCTTTACTTTAGACTGCAATAATATTTGCTATGCCTCATGACCTCTCCGACTGTATTTTGGAACAACCCCCCACCTCCTCCAGGCTGGCAGCCCACTGCTGAAGGAGCAGAGATGTAGGGCAGCCATTGAAGGGTAGATGATCAAACTCCTACTGAAAATGCCCTGGAGAGGAGTTAAGTTCATTTTCCAATAGGCTGTTGTCATCCAAAGTCTCATGGCTCTATCAAGTAGCCCATTTCTATCCGAATAGCTCTGTTTGATATGCAGGATGTCACAGGGAAAAAATGTCCAAAAGGAGAGTTAAGGTGTAGGGCACGGCTACTTTGTGCCAAAACCATATGGCTCTAGTGCATAAGAGAGTGAAAAGCTTCAGGGATGGCTCAAGAATTTGTAATAGGAACTGGACACTTTCTTCTAGGTCATTATTTGGGATCAGAGCTTTAACCATTGCACTGGCACACCATGTGAAGTGTCTCCTGCTTAGAGGAGCTGGGATTGTGTAGACAGGGATGTTTTGTTTTCAATGTTCTCTGGGGAGTTTCAGGACGGTATCCAAACTAGAATGACACCATTCCTTGTCTCTTCCTGAGACTAGGTGATATAAATACATCTGCAGGGGCTGGCTTTGCTGGAGAATATGGTTTCTAATGGCCCAATCCCTTGCAGAAGTCAGAGTGGAAACAAATACTGGTGGCTTTATCCACATGGGAAGGTGAAAATTTCCTGCGTAAATGTCCATCTTTAGAGACAATGAAATACTGAACTTTGAAGAAAGCTCAGGTGCAATCTCACAGAAGGAGTTATAAAATGAGTAATACTTCCTCTCTTATCACTAATATTATATTTCCAGTTTTCTTTTTCCCCTTTACAATTGCAGTTTAGCACAGCTCTAGGGGGAAATTCAATTTTATGTTACATTTTCTGTTTTTACTGCTAAAACAGGAGTGGCTTGTAGAGGATTTCACCTCTTATTTGGGATTTTACTTATTACGTCTATTAGTATTTTGTTCCCATATCTGACCTTTCATACATGTTTGAAAAAGGGCTTGAAAAATGGCTTGTCTTCCATTTAAAGGGCACAAGGAGAGATTCAGACTGGCAATATAACTACCTTCTTTTGGTGTTTTGGCTCATAAGGTCTGGAAGAGGGGGTAGGTGAGTTTGTAGCTTGTATCTTTCATTCACCCACAGTGAAGCCTGAGGTTCTGCATGATTTACTCTGGGCAGCACCATCTCTGTTCAGTGCTGGTTATACAGATCTCACTTGTATGAGGTGACCCTTCTCTGGATTTTTTTTTTAGCCATAAAATTCTAGCAAAGAATTTTGTTTGGATCACTTTGCCTGTCTAGTAGAGTTCATATTGATATATAACTCTTGCATTTGGTGTGGTATCAGTGAGTGCTGGGACAGCACTGACAGGGCAGGAGAAGCTTTGTGAAAATCCCCTACTCTAACCAATTCCCCACCAGGGCAGGATGGGAGGGGATTGCATACACAGAGCAGTGTCAGGTTTGAAGCAAAGCCGCCCATTGCAGAGCCCATCGTGCTCAGTGCTTACCTTTGAGGCTGAGCTCACTCGCCACCGCTTCTGCCTTGGCAAGGACCAGATCCACCACAGCTACTTTAGCCCCAGCTTCCCCCAGTGCATGGGCAAAGGCTCTGCCAATGCCCTGCCCTCCCCCTGTGACAAAGGCCACCCTGCCATCCAAGCGCAGCCGCTCCAGGATGCGCCGCCCGTGGCAGCCCCAGAAGACATCATCCTTCAGCACTTCTGTCTGCAACAAAAACACAAACACACTGCACAGCAAGGGACAGAGCTCACTGACACCTCTGAAGGACTCTGCTGGTGAGAACGAGGTGGGAGCATGAGCAGGGATCCATGTCTTCTTAGCCCATTAATTAATACAAAAAGTATCGCTAATTCAAGCCAAAAAGCCCCCTCATCCATACAGATATTAACCTCAAACAGAGCACTAAGGTGCCAGACAATGGAGCAGAAGGGCTGTGCTTTGGGGAGATGCTGCAACCATTCCACTTTTAGGAGAGTAGGGTATGGCATTTCTTAGCCTGGCTTGGATTCAAAGTCTTAGAAGTTGACTAATTAAGATTTCCAATTATTTCATCCCCAGGGCCCAATTTTGCCCTCAGGCTCAGCTAAGAGGCTAAGAACAGGGGTCCAAAGGCAGGATTTGGGTCAAGTAGAGTGCAATCAAAATATCTTCACAAGGCTGGTGCACAAATAAAGATATCAGCCAATAACTTAAACCAAGCTGTCATCTGATCAGCTGCCATACATCATTTCCTCCTGACTGGAATCAAAATGCAAAATACAAGATGTTTAAAATATTGAATTTGAAATGCCAGGAATTACCAGTGGGTGTAGCTTTGGGAGTGCTCAGAAACTGCAAAACAACCAGGATGTTTGGGTCTGGGTTTACTGAGGTAGGCCATTATGATTCCAGATGGGAATTTCACTACAGCTAGATGATGCCCACTACATAAAACAGAGGAAGATAAAAGCACCATTTTTTTTTTCCTTAGGACAAGCAAAATGTAAGGCCATTAAAATATCCAGCTCAGAAAGCACAGGAGGACATCCTTTGCTGTGCTGCCTTTGAGAAAAAAAATGAACTATTTCAGAAATATTGTATTGGTTCATTACAGCTGGTCCTCAGCTCCGTCTTCCCACACTCCTCTGCATGGGAAGGATGGGAGAACACCAGGCACTGACACCTGGTGAGCAGAACACCAGCCACTCCAGAGAGTCACCACAGGACCAGCTGATCTGAAAGACTTTGCAGCATTTATCAGCTTTAGTGCAACCCTGGACTAGGGAGGCTGAAAGGTGCCAAGCTCTAAGCTCTTAAGTCTGTGATCAGAGTACCTACCACATGTCTGAGTTCTTGCCACCAAATCCTTTTAAATTATTTTGTCCTTGTCCTTGTCAGAGTCAAAATTTTCCCAGAAATGTTCACAGAGAGGAAATACCCACCTTGGATTCAGCCACTGCATCTGGAGGCACAGGGCTCCTTCGAATGACGCTCAGTCCACTCTGCACAGGCAAAATCACCTGCAAATATAACACAGTTCTCATCTGCTTTGTACCTGGCTTTCTGCCACCAAATTCAAATTCAAATTCAAATATGAAGGATAATCCTCAGGCCACAGTAGTTTTTCCCCTACTCCTGTTCTTTAACTGAACAATACAAACATGTCAGGCATCTGTATTTGCTCACATTCTTCTTCCAAACTCATTGCTTACATAAATACCAGGGAAAAAAAATGCAATCTTGTCTCTCTAGTTTCTAAAATCACAACATATTGTTTGTGCATCCTATTACTACTTCTTTTTATTCTCTTTGCTGACTCCCATTGTGCTGGTGATGCCCTACAACCCTCAGAGCCTTTAAAGCAGAGTGGTGATTCTTTAGTTGTGCTGTAGAGCTGATTATTCACTCTTAAGTGCTCTCCTTTTATCTTGCCTTTAACACTCTATAAGATGCAGACAGAGCAGGGACCACTCCTGAATATAGAAACTCATACCTCGAGCTCAAGTGAGGTGAATTATAATAAAATCTGAGTTTATTTTAGGTCCTTAGAATAATGGCACCAACAAAAGAAGCATTTTAAAGAGTACTTTGCAAAATCCATAGATACAGCACTGAGGGCACCTTAACCAATGGCATTCCACTAACCTGCTCAACACGAGGATCTGAATTAATCACTGAATTTAATTTTCTGACAGCTAGTACATTTTCATCTGATACATTCTCCAGGTAGACTTGTCCTTTCATGAGTGTATTCTCTACACAGATCACTGCATCCATGCTCAGCAAGTGGTTATCCATGACAAAGCTGTAGTACTGAACAGCATTCCTTTGATCAGCATCAATAAAGACCATATCAAAGTGCTCGTCCTCAGCATGTAATGCCTGGGAAAAAATTATATTGGAGAAAACACTAATTATTTACCTGAAAGTTTAACATGTTGCCAATAATTTGTCCTTTATATAAAACCCAAACCAGACAGAAACTTGTTTTTTTAAGGTAGCACTGCTAGAACTGCTTCTGGAGATCTTGGGAGTTTTCCATGCTTTGCAAACCATTCTTCAGCAGTGAATCTCTGAACTTCCCAAGAAAAATCAGGATATAAAAGAAGATGGCTCATCCCAGCTTATGGTGTTGAGAGTCACAGCAGAAACACCTGCATACCTTGAGTCAAAGTAAATTGATCCATCAGGGTAAGACTAGCATCAAACCCTGCCACTGAAGTGCTGCAATAAGTTCTCTCTTCTCAAAAGAGCAACTATCAACAAATTGAAGAGTGGCAATTATATCAGTCTGGGGGAAAAAAAAGAGGCATAAGGCAGATCTGGGAACTGCAAACTAGTTTGTCCCACTTCAGTAGCAGGGAAAGGGTTGAAATCCCAATTAATAATAGAATTATAAAGCACATGAAAGAACAGGTCATGATAGAGATAAAGCAGCACAGCCCCTGTGAAGGAAAATGATGTTTCTTTAATCTAAAAAAATGCTTTGGATAGCTCAGCAACAGAGAGGATAAAAGAGAACTGGCTGCTATCATCTAATTGGATTTTCAGAAATGTGGCACACCTTCCCTCCAAGCAGGCTGCTGATGATAATGTATAAAAGTGTTGATGGATGACCAGATGGGAGCCTTTACAGCCTTCTCCTGTGGCAGTTAATGCACTCGCTGCCCAAGAGGCTGCTATGGAATATTTCAGATTCCATCTGGGACTATTTAACTGCATCTGTGTGCGTTGCAATGAAACAACAGCTCATCCACCTATCTCGGAGAGCAGAAATGCTTTCAAGTCTTTGCATTTCAAGGGAAAATAGAAACAGTTCTGTTTTCCAGGACTCACTGTCTCTACCCTGACTTTTAACAGTACTTCTTGCATCCAGATTTCCCTTTTGTGTTTAGAGACATTGTGCACAACGAGTGATGAGCCATCCCTCGGGATGTACCAACAAAAACATCAACAATGGCAACAGAATGTGAAAAACTGGTCTGGTTTTGGGAGTAAGGTTAATGCCTCCCAAAGAGAGATTTCCAGAGCCTTTCTGAGGCAGGGAGTGTGTGGATCAGACAAGGAAATAGAGGAAACAGATCATTGAAGCTCTGAACTCCTCTGTTGTGCAAACTGGTGTCATTGTGAGCTTGTTAATGGTGAGGGAATTAAGCTTGGGTAGTCTCATTTAACTGTGGATGCTGGATAGCACAGAAACTCTGCCTATAGCATTCACGAGTCCACATTTAGGACACATTACACTATAATGAAAGAAGACCCTAAGGCCAAATATATGCTGGCTTATTACAAATGTAGTAGAAACTGGGACATCTGGATTCCTGGGATTCATCTTTTCATCTCATGACCAGCAAGAAAGTCTTGCCCTGGTTCCCTCATGAGCCACATTGGTGGAAAGCAGCAGGAACATTTTTGCTACTGTGGAAGAGTATCTTATGTCAGGTTGCACCTTCAGTCAATCTGTACAATGTAGATACTTCAGGAAGGGTCAGAAAAAGAAAGCTGGGTGGAGGAGCCCATCATGAAGGGAGATTAGAGGTCTCATTCCTCAGGGAGAACAGCCAAAGCCAAATTCAAGTAATTATCATGACTTATCACTACTTTCTGACTTGTAACCTTCCTGGGTGGAGGAGGTGGGGGGCAGACATTCAGGAACAGATGTGGCCATCGCTGAACATATGTTACTCCTGCTCCATGGGATGGCTCCCTAATGAAAAAGAATCTCACTTTTATGCATTGACTTCATTAGGTCCATATGGAGTTGTGCAGCTCTCTGGATATTAGCTGGACCTCTCATTTCAGCCCTCTCTGTATCACCTACCTGCTGACAGCTTATCTCTTTCTTATCTGTCTTCTGATACAGATAAACCACCTTTTAACATCACAGCATCCATCCCAGGAGGGTGCCTGGGTTGGATGTGTAGCCAGTGCACACCTGGCTTGTCCTTGCACTGCCTGGGTGTGCCAGGCCATTGTTTCTAAGGCATTTCTCTTCTGCCACTTCCCTGAGTCCTGAATGGCCAACCAGAAAGGTCACTTGGGCATCCAGATACCCAGTGCCTGACACATGGAAGGAATAGCCTGAGTCTGTCCTGGGACCTGCCATCATTTGAGCTTCTTGTTTCCACAGCTTCATGACTGCTGCTGAGTTTTCCATTTTTAGCTAGAAACAGCGCCAGGGCTATAAGCAAAATCCATGAAATTCCTTGAACCAGCCTTACCTCTAGAGAAGCCTCTACCCAGTAGTGTAACAGCCACAGGGAGAGGAAAGTGTCCTGTTCCCTGGAGCCCCTTGGCTAGAAAAACACAGGTCACCCAGGCAGGTGGTCACCATGGCCAGGGCACCACACTGGAGAGGGTTTCCTCACTGCCAGCACCCACTGCTGAACAAAACCAGCAAGATGATAAAAGATCTGCTCTGGCTGCAGAGCCAAGCACTGGAAAGATGGGTCTGAGGATAACTGCATGCTGTCCAGTATGGATGAGGGGATTTAAAATGAGGGATTGACCTCCCTGGCCCTCCCAGCACAAACTGGGCCAGGCCCTGCCTGGGACCCCACAGCACTCTGGAGATGACATTGTCCTTTGCTTGGAGAGGCAGAGCCCAAATGCCTCCAACTGTGAGGAAAGCTGAGATCCAGAAGGAAATAATCTGCCTGCAAAATATCCTGCTGAAACTAATTTCCTGAGTGTTTACAGTGCAATCCCTGCTCCTTGCTACAGAGTCATCATAGATGGTAACAGATGGCAATAAGAGTTTTAATTCAGAGCAAACTTGGCTAAAATTAATGCTTTTGCTTACAGTGAGTCATTAACTTCCCCTTGAATTAAAAAAAAAAAAAAGTGTAACACTGCATTCCATTAAGGAGATGTACCAAAAAGTGACCATGGGAAAGGGCACAGCAGTGCTGCTGATGGACACAGGAAAAGATCAGGGAGAGGACATCCCGAATAAGAACATGAATGAATCTTCTGCCAAAGCTCAAAAAAAAAAAACTGATTGGAGTCCTCATCAGAGACAACACTCTCATAAGGCAGATACAAACTCAATCAGAAAAAAAATGACTGCCCAGTTCCTTTGATATGGATCATACAGTCAGCATATTTGTAATAAAGATGTACTCAAAACTTATTACCTTCCCTGTGCCTTGTTCTTGACCTAAATGTAATAGCAATCCATCCTTGGGGTGCACAGAATACATGAAAAAGTACAGTTTCCTTTTAAAACACCATTAGAATATTTTACTGTGTGTGGACATACACTCTTGTTACTCCTAAATGCTATTCTATTGAGTACAGTTTATATTCACCAGCAAAGCGAAATCTCTAGGGAAGCCAGAAAGGGAATGCAATTTCTAGTAATAACAGCTCACAACAGTGAATACTATCCACTTATCCCCACAATTTCCAGCTATTTTGGACTCCTTTCTGAATTAACCTTTCATATCAAAAGGAGCAATTCTAGAGCACACTAGAGACTCCGACACAATTTCATGCATAATTTATTCACTCAGTTCAACATTAAACGCAGAGTCCTTGACTTTGTCAAGGTGGATTCTGTTGGCAGACTTCACAAGCAGCAAAACAGGAGAAATGAGATCTGCAGCTCAACCTCTTCACCTATTCTGTCTGCTAACAGGAGGGAAAAAAGAAGAAAGCAAACCTCGACATGCTTCCACAATGCCCTGCAATCAGGAGAATCAGCTGCAAACACTGTGTTATTTTTGTGTTGCATTTTCAATTTTAAAATGGAAGGATCAAAATAATGGATGTGAATAATTTCCTGATAGTTTGCATTCCCTCCAGACTCAATCCTGCATCCATTGTTCATCAAAAGTCTACCGGGAATTGAAGGAAGCTCTTTGTGCAGGATCAGGCTCTTGCTGGCAGCAGATCCATGGCAAGGCACATTATCCAGGCATGGCTCAACAGAGTTCAGACTTAAGGGAAGATTTGTTGGGAAATGTTTTTAAACACTGGCCCAGGACATGTTGAATAGGCAGCTAATTCCTTCTGAAAACACCTGTACCTGAGACTGAACCTGAAGAAAGGCTTCCCCTCAGTCCACATTTCAAAATGCTGTGTAAAATTCCTGAGGCTCTTGGGCACAGAGGCTTGTGTTGTGTTCTATGGGACCTCACCCACTCAGTGTCTGTCCCTCATGAGTTGGGAAGGTGGAATTTCATCATCATGCCCTCAGGTATCAAGTGAACCCTACCATGTATTTGAGCTCTTTGGAGCTATTTGGCTCCTCTTTGACACTTAGCATCCCTTGACAGGGAAAAACTCCAGATTTTTTGTGCTGGCTGTGATCTGGGACAAGAGGGAAGGAAACAGGCCAGCCCCACCAGTGCTGTGTGATAGCACAAGGGAGCATCAAGAGGCTTCAGAGAGCCTGGTCAAGGTCCAAGGTGCACTGGCACAGATGTGTTGCATCCTTGTGGCAACTGCTGCAAGATTTACAGCTTCCTTGTAAAGGGCAGAAGCAGTCGTGGGGGCACCACTGGACACATCCTGCAGCACCTGGATGATACCTGAGGCTGGGATGCAACTCCTGGATAGATTAGTTTTACACCAGAAGGGAGAGCTCATACTCCTTCTGACAGTTTGGACATGCTGAATCATAGCTTCAGGCAGCACAGAAGGAATTCCCTGACAGGTAGTTAATCTACAGATAATATGACATTTTCTTGCTTTGAAAGGGCCAGGGCAGTGAAGCAAATCCTGCTTCCAGGAGTTGTATTACTGCAAAAATTTGAGGAGCAGCAGATAGGCAGAAATACTGCCCTGGTGTACTTGGTTTAGAAGTGAGATTCAGCCATCACCAAGCAAGAAAGCTTCATCACACACCTCCAAAGAGCAATTGGTGGGTGACCATCCCTGCCCTCTAGTTTCTACAAAGGGACAAGAATGACACCTAGGGCTGCAGACACTGTAGGCAGCAAGGACAATCCTTGCCAGAGCTTGTTCCAGCTCTTCTAAACCTCACTGAGCTCTTCAACAAATGCTAGCCAGCTCTGCTCTAGACCAGCCTCCCCACAGCCCACGAGGGACAGAAATGTTCTCCACTTCCCCTGTGAAGCTGAGCTGTGAGAGCCCTGCTGTGCCATCCCTCACCCATCTCCTGCCTGTGCCTGCCTTGCCCTCCTGCCTTTCAGCTGCCCACGAGGCAGCAAAGGAATCCTGCTCAGTCTCCAGCCTACACTGGTCATCTGGGAGGGAAAAGGCAGCATTCTGTCCACAGGTTGAGCCTCTTCCACATACCCAGGCATTCCACGCAGCTGCCACACTCCAAATGGGCAAAACTCAAGAAGCAACAAAATGCAAATGCACCGGAGAGCCCACCAAACTCATTGCTTCAGCATTTACAGCTGTTGTGAATTAAACCTTCAGGACAATCCTGATTGTCCTGATACTGGTGACAAAACGTCTGCCACACTGAATAGCAAAAGTTCAGAGCCCAGTGCAGAAATCCTGCACAGAAAGGTGTCCCCATGCTGGGATCTCTCCTGCCAAACATGAGCATCTCTGTTCCAAACAGCTCCAAGAGGTATTTGAAGTTCTGAGCACCTGCAGAACTGAGGTCAGGATGTGCCTTCATGTTGCAATTGGAGGATATAAAATCAATTGCAACATTCTGTTTTAAGGATTTAATTTTCATGTCTTTGCTCCCTTCTTTAATCTCTACACAGCATGTACTCTGCTTGCCTCTAGATATTTTAATTCAGTCACAGTAAGTCAGTTGCACAGAATGGGCACTAGAGAGCAACAGCAATTCAATTAATTTCACACTCACTGCAGGGAGCTGGGATTTTAAATGCTGCACATTGCAGGTGATCTGTAGCATTTCGTTTTTTCATACACTTGCAAAGCTCTTTGTTTCTTTCTTATCAAACTTGGAGGTCATGAAAACCAGAGGTCAGAAAGCTCCTGGCCATCTCATTTTAGAAATAAATATGTACCTGCTAATGCAAATAAAGTTACAATCAAGCTCACACTGACACATCCTGATTGAAAACGAAATCAGATCAAATTGATTTGTATTAATAATAGAAAGGCTTTTTAATGAACCTGGTATGGGCACCACCTGTCTCATGCTGGACCCGCAGCAATGTCCTGGAGATCCATAAACTGGAATTAAATGTGAGCTGCCAGCAATCATAAGATTTCTCTTTCTTGGGACGAAGTCACCAGTCAGAATGAAACAAGTGCAGCTAAGTCATTATTTGTCTGAGGCTTATCACATTGCTCTGGAAATGAGAAAGTGGGGTCTAACACATCTAAGAGTTTGCTGTGGGGAAAAATGGTGAGAGGTTTTGACAGAATTACAAACTTCTCCAGGAGTTTCCCAACTCTTGTGAACATTGGGAGCAAGCTGTCCTCAAAATCTGGCTCAGCAGGGTACAGATACACTGTTCCTGTTTGTTATATTTGGAATTAGGGATCCAAAACAAAGCCAACCCATGTTGAGTTAAACTGCTATTGAAGCCTATCGACCTACATTGAGAGCCTGTGATTCCTCTGATCAAAAAGCTGCAGGATTTTAGTTAAAAGGGAGGAAAACTGTCTTGTGTGACAGAGCTGCCCCATCATACACTGAAAAAAAGAAATAACCTCGCTACAAGAGTGTGTTCACACGTTTTCAAGCAAACCAGAGCCACCATCCAGCATGGCATGGGCAGGAAATAGGACCTGCCTGAAATTATATAATGTGCTCTTCACTAGAACTCCCAAATTGCCTTTCCAGCTGACTTTACCTTCAAGGTGTCTGCCACTGGTCCCACTTGCATGTTTATCTTTTTGCCATCTGAGGAATAATCAAATTCTTCCTGGCTCTTCACTCCGAGATATGGCACTTCTGCACAGACAAAGATTTTGCCATCGTCAGGCAATTCCTTTGCAATAGCAGGGATAGTGTAACCTTTAGGATTGCCAATTAGTAAAATCTTCCTGGCTCTGATCATATGGACAAACATCCTTAAAATTTGGCCTGTGGAAAGACAAGAGTGAAAATTTGAAAATAAAGCCATGAGAAAGACTATACTTTGTTCACAATGAAAATTAGATGTGCCTTTTAAGTGATCATTAAAAAAACCCTAATCTTAAAACACTCTCAAATAAGGATTTAACAACAGAATCTGACAAAATTTCATCTAAAATGCAGCTAAAAGACAACAGAATAAAAGGACTGATTTTAAATGTAGAACCTTTATCATCAATGCTGCTATTGTTCAAGTGCTTGTTAAATAGTGCTTGAAATATTGCATATTTTAACATTCCCCCCATATGAAAATGGCTTTGAGATGGCTCCATATTCTTTCTGGAATCCAGTATTAAAAAAAAAAAAAATCACTACATTACCTTGCATTTGCTCTTAGAGTCATTATCCCTAGACAGCACCATCATTTAAGAAATTTATCATCAGTGGTGTCCTTCGAACAATGTATTAGTGTAATAGATTATAAGAGTACTTCACTGGGATGATATATTACTCCAAAGATGAGAACATCTGGCAAGAATGAATCTGGGAATAGATTTAGTGTAATAGGCTTTATAAGAGGATACAAGCCTGGGTATTGCTACTTGTAAAGGTGCAGTGCTTGGCCACGGCCACCTCCTCCACAAAAGGACATAAGCCCCTATTAGAGATCCCAAACCAGAAGCATTTTTTTCCATCCCTTTCCCTTCCAAGAAGGGTGATGATCTCTTTGCTGCTCAGTGAGGGATGGGGCTGGCACTGTGAATTAAAGCACTCATGTGTGAGTGAATACAAGGGCATGGGAGGCAGGGTACAGGAAAACTCGTGCCAGAGGAAGATCAAAGCCCACAGGAAGCTCATCTCTTTCTTTAGAAATAATTTCCCACATTTTCTGAGCATTTCCATGGCATCCTCCCCTTACTCAAGACAAAGTAGAGGATGTAACTTCAACTTCAGTGAGAACATTTACACGAATCTGGTGCAAATTTACCAACTTGCCATTCAGAGAGCCAGAGGCATGTGTTTCCTGCAGCCTGACTGTGCTTTCAGCTCCTTCAGCATCCCCTGGGATATGCTGAGGTGAAGTTTTTCTGGAAAATAAAAAAAGACATTTTGATATGATGATAACAACCAAAATCTGAGCATCCAGCATAAAAAGCAGCAGCCAAGAGGGAACTCCTGGAAAAGCTCCATCTGTGCATGACCATGAAAAATTAGCCCAGAAGCATCACAAGTATCCTAAATTCCAGTCCTAAGAGAACCCAGTTTGGCAACAAGCACATCTCAGTGCTGGCAGCCACCTCAGCAATAGGGCTTGGGAAGAAGGGGACTAAAGGAAAGAATTCTCCACTGCTCAGCCCCAAACCTTTCCCATTTTCAGCTGGTCCCAGACAGGTCTCTACCTATCTGGAGGTTTGGAGTGAATTACTCCAGTTATCCTGGCCAGGTTTTGTTCAGCTCTACAATGATTATTTTTGTTCCAGCCAAAAATACGGTTTCTTTCCAGAACAGGGGAAAGGATATAAAACCTAAATTTTTTTAAAGACAGAGGAAAAAAATGTTTTTCCTCACGAAGTGCTCAGAAAAGCAGGGTGCCTCCAGATGCTATTTCACAGAACTCAGGCCTATGGCAATGTCTCTGGATGAAGTGAGATGTTACCTATTACAAAGGGAAGGCAATAGAGGACTTGAAGAAGTCCATAGCCTCCAGACAGGTTAGATTAGCCTATCTGAAGAAAGCAACCACCAGAAATGGATGGTGATCATTCTTCAGGCCAGAGTTTAAAGCCATTTCAGTGGTTTTTTTCCTCCAGCTCCCCCCGCTCCACTCCTCAGTAAAATGAGAAAGAATTCATAACCCGTGTCAGCCACAGCCAGATAATCCAAGACTTAAAGAGTAGAACATTTCATATAACCTCTCTTCTGCCCCTCACAAATGCTTTAACAACTTTAATAAGATAATGTATAGCTATTATCCTACAGCAAGTGTAAGTCAAACAACTATCAGCTATTATTTCAGCAACAGAGTGAATACTCGGTGTTCCCATAATCCACAGCCTGGAACAGTTTACACATTGTCAATTTTAGACAGAACTGGCTTTTTCCACATATCAAAATGTACACTGATAGATGGGAATTGTTTAGCAGACCCCACATGGCTGGGTAATATACTGTAGCTCAAAAGAGAATAATGAGGGTATCAGTTGGACTTCTGAATTAATGATACCTTAAATTAGTTTAATTAATTAGTTTAGTTACCAGAGTAATTTAGTTAGCAGATTAATTAATGTTTGTTGAGTGCTTGGAGATAAAAGCCACATATAAAGGCTGTTACTAGAGGGTGGATCCAGAGGTGCAGGTTTTCCTCACTCTTTATTGATCCCAGCACGAGCTGGATCCACTCTTCAAACCTTCCAGCAAAAACTGTGTGGAGTTGGCATTCCCCAGGATATGCTCCAACTCAGACACTGCCATAGTCAACAATCAATTGGGAGAATATCTTCAACAATTTAAAGTGTTTTGTTCTCACCTCGTTTCCTCCAGGCTGTGGGCTCACACACGTATCCATGCATATTTTGTTTTGAGTGCACTTAAGTCTCATCCCGCTTCCTGACACTGTCCCCCACGTTTCTGGCATGTTCTGGACAGAAAATCTAACAACTCATTCATCCAAACACAGACAAAAGCACAAGGTTGAAAGGAGGATCTGTACCTCTTGGAAGCTCCCATTGCATCCAGGTAAGGGTCCAGCCCAAGAGCAACATCAAGAGCTTTTTGTAAGTAATTCCTGAGCTGTTCAGGTACACGAGAGTCATTAAGGGCTATTTCTTTGGCTTTGAGAAGGTTCTCAGCAATGTGCCCAGCCACAGTTTCTGAGATGGAAATTAAAAGGTAGAATAATGATTTTGTAACTGCTCAATCAGTGGAAGAGGAGTTTAAAGTACATAAATACAGGTGTGGGTTTTTTATATACAAAATACAGGGTTTTGAAGGACTATGAAAACAATAATGAAAACGTTTTCAAACTGGAAAAATCTTATATTTCTAGCAGATTTTTGCTGCATGCATTCTGCCTCTTTCCCCTCAGATCTGATCAAGAATAAGAATGCTTTAAACACATGAATTTTGCTTTTAAAGCTCCAAGGCAAGTATCAAACACCAAACAACTGCATACAAACCCTGCTCCTCCAGGTATTATTTTCCTTGGAGAAGACAGAATGCTTCCAAAACTGCTCTTGCCAAACCAGGCAGGAGATGCAGGCAGTGGGTGAAGCTTTGTAAAAAGTAGGATCTGTGTGTCAGTGGGATGCTGTGTCTGTGCAAGGGGGGACACAACATGTCAGTATTTCAAAGGCTGTGGAAATGTCCCCAGAATCCAGACCACCTTGCTCTGGAGGCCAAATTAATGCTGCCCATGGCACTGAACCTGTCCTGAGATCCCAAAAATCTCTTTTGGCAGCAATCCATCATCACAGCCAGCCATGGCTGCAGAGGGCGAGGCATGGCTCAGAGAAACTCCCCAGTCCTCGAGTGGAAGAGCACATGCTGAGTTATGAAAGCACCTGTGAGAGACAGGACAGGAGGCTCTGAGTGTGACTGGGGTGGAGCAGATTGCCCCTGGCAGGGTTTTATTGCCTGTCAGAGAAAAGCTGCAGAGAACTACGTGGAATGAGTGAAAGGATGATCTCCTTTACTTCTGTGGCTTTCCAGTGCCTGAAGGGAGCCTACAAGAAGGATGGAGAGAGGCCATTTACAAGGCATGTAGTGACAGGACAAGCAGGAATGCTACAGGCAGAAAGAGGGTAGGTTAAGATCAGCTATTAGGAAGAAAGTCTTCTCTGAGAGGGTGATGAGATCCTGGCACAGGGTGCCCAGAGCAGCTGTGGCTGCCCCTGGATCCCTGGAAGTGTCCAAGGCCAGGCTGGTTTAGAGCAGCCTGGGACAGTGGAAGTTATCCCTGCCCATGGCATGGGAATGGAATGAGATGGGCTTTAAGATCTTTTCAAACCAGCCCATTCAGTGATTCTGGATACCATGCCACGATTTACATCTCGTCCCAATCTCTAACCATCAGAGGCAGCTTTTACCTCTTCCAGCAGTTTTATAAATAATTTCAATTGCAGGAATAGCCACTCCTTTCCCAAACCATGCTGGTTTGCTGCCCTCAGCCCAGCTGCACTTCGAGTGAAGAGGACACACACACTCCTCTTGCAGCATTTTCACCACCACATGAGGGAGCATCCCGGGGTTTCCACTGCTCATCCGGAGAGTGCTGGAGGCTCAGGATCTGCTCATCCTCCCTGCCAAGCACTCGGAGGCTCTTTTGCTAATTTAGGGGTAAAAACATGTTTATAATCCGTGTCGACTTTTAGTAATCATCATGTTATGCTTCTGGATAAGTAACAGGGATTGCCTGTCACACAAAGGGCAGGAAAAAAGACTTAATTGCAGCTGTTTTGTAACCTGTGTTATAACACCAGATGTGAGAGCCAAGAGGTGCTGAGGGGAGAGGGAGCAGACAGGGCATGCCAGGAGCAACTCTCCATCCCAGATTACACAACCTTTGCAGGGAGTGCTGCATTTTTTGCAGCCTGGTGATGCTTTGGGCCAACAGCAGAGGTCAGAATTGTCCTCATTTATGCAAGCACCAGACAAGTCAGAGCAGAGCTCAGGGCTGGCTCCCCGGCCCAAGGCTCTGAGCACTGTGAGCTGAACTTTATGTAACTACTTTTTTTTAAAGGTTATCCAAGAAAAAGTGCTTCATTTCAGCACGCAGTTTTACACAATCCCTTTAAAACTGCTGGACTATATGAAGCACTAAATTAGATTTCCTGATTGTGTCCCTATGGCTCGATGTATGCACAGATATCTCTTTTCATTTCCCATCTAGTTGTGCATTATCATCCACGGGAGAAAAGACAAACTCAGAGGAAGAAAATGCTGAAAATTGACCTACCATGAAAGAGCAGGAAAGGGCTGCTTTAAGTCTCCAGCAGTTTCATAAAGAAAGATAGGGTGGCAATTCTTATTTGGACCATTCTTGCCAGCAGAATTGTTCCCAGCATCTTCCTGGGCAGTTGCTGGGAGCACAACCACCCTGTTTTACAACTAAGCTGACTAAAAAATTGCAGCTTCTACTCTGTCTGAAATCAGGAACTTTTGATTCGCACCAAAGTCAGGAGTCAGGATTGCAAAACTGTACATGTAGGACATCAGTGTCTTCTGAGCAGACAGGCAGTGCAGTGCCATAGAGTGACCTGCTGCCCCAGAATGACAATTAAACTCTGCAGTTTGTGCTCAGATGGCACTTCTTAGTTGAAGAACAGAGGAGGACACGTTATTGTTTGCAGGGGGCCACCCTGAAGGAGGCACAGAGACAAGAGTCTGGATTTGGCAAAAACAAAGTAAAGACATGAGACCAAAAAGACCAAATCTTTGGTTCTCATTTTAGAGCTATCCTCATTTCACCTTCCAGGCTCTAGATCTATTTTGCAGCCCCAGAAATGCCTTCCATAAGAGCTCCCCTTCCCAGCCAGGACAGAGCACTGAACCTGATCCACCTGAACCCTTTGCTGCCAGACTCTTTGGTGCTCCTGTGCCAAGCACCTTGGCAGGAGCTGCTCATTGCTAAGCACTTGGAAATCCAGCCTGCTGAAATCATCCCAAACAGTTCCAGTCATCATATTCACCAAGGGACCTCGGGCATTGACAACAGCTTATCCCAACCCTTACACCTCATGTGTGTAAATACATGTCCTGGCACATCGTGGCCCCTGTGGGGACAGGGGTGGGTGGGCAGTGTGGCCAAAACTCGAGTGCATGGCCATCAAACATTGCAGGGTGTCCTGAACAGAGCTCAGCCTGTGCCTCAGCATCCACAGTGCCAGAGCCTGCAGCAGTGATGGCCTGGGGACAGGTAGCAGCTTAGGGATGGAGGGGGAGCATGAGGAGAAAGAGCAGGAGGAAGAACCAGAGAGGGGACACTGCTGTTCATGGCTGGAACCAGGGATCTATACTCTGACTGAACTCCAGGGGAAAGCAAGGGAAATATGCACTAGCTGATGCATTTTCTACAGGTTCTACTGGTAGAAAATAAGTTGAAAAGCTGAATCTCCCCAGTGCTCCATTAGGGAGACAAATTATTTATAAAACAAGCATCACAATGCATCAGAAATTAGTCACAGCCAAAGCTCTCTTGACATTGCAATCATCCACCACCCCACCATTCCTTTCCCCTGGGATTGTCCCACTCCCTCCACTCCAGATTCCTGCAAACCCATCTCCTGTGCTCAGGCTCTCTCCTGTCCCTGACAAACCCACCCTCTACTCCTTGCTGCCAAGGCACATCTCCATGGGGAAGGTGGGGACCCTAGGGCATCACACGGTGTCCCCTCCTGCCACACCACTCTCCTGGAGCTCCTCACCCCTCACAGAGAGTTTACCTGAAGGGTTATGCATGTTCCCTCTTGTCCCCTGGCCTCAGAGGATGCTGTGGTGGGTTTGCTGCCTCTGCAGAGCAGGAGGTCGGTGCTCGGGTGCCCGGTGAGGGGACAAAGTCTCCTCCCTCAATCACCAGGGCAGAGGGGGAGAGGCTGGTGGGGAGGATGGCCCCGGGCTGGGGCTGCACCCGCCTGTCCCTCCCAGAGCACAGGTGAGATCCAACAGCATCTGACACGAAAAAAAGCACAACAAAAGAGCCGACTTTCAGTGCCTTTGCTTTACATAAGAGTAAGTTCACATCCTGACCTTGGGAAGCTGCTGACTGTCAAGGAAGTAATTGGCAGTTTCATAATCTTCTAGTTACATATCACAGACATGCCCCGGCTAAACCAGCAGGTATGGGACCAAAAACGTCCCAGGACTCTGAACCCCAGATTATCTATAAGTGGTCCTTAGCCACAAAGTCACCACTGCCCCACGCAGCCAAACACTGGAGTAACCCCTGCTCTGGGCCAGGTGTCTGCACGGGCTGGGGCAGGTTGTGTCACTTGGGTACCAGCTGATCTGCACCCCAAGAAAGGGTCCTGGGAACGGACTGGCTGAGGGAGGCATCGGGAGCAAGCAGTGGGAACATCCAAGGTATCCAAAATACCCTGCAGCAGGGCTGGTGAGGAATTAAAGCAAAGTCCTCAAAGAGTGTGTGATGGAGCTGATGTGGGCTGGCCATCTCCTTTTCATTCAGAAGAAACACAGAATGGAGGTAATGAGGAAATGTGGACTCGCCCATAACCAGAACAGCATCTGTCACCTCTGGGATGTATCACCCTGGGCTCATTCACTCAAGGACTGACTCAAGGTACCTGCAAAATGTGCAGAAAGAGCCCAGGGCTGGGCAGGGAAGGTGAGCAGGCTGGGGGAGCTCACACAGGGCTCTTGGCAGTCCCTCTGCAGGATGGAAGGTGCAGGGACATGGCAGTCATTGGTGCTGGCAAGTAGCTGGACTGTGGAAAGTTAATTTGTCAAATGTAACAGAAGACATTTCAGTGTCCCCGGAATAGAACGGGGAAGTAAAAATAGAAAATAAGTAAATACACACTATGAAAGAGTAAAAGAAAAGCAAATAAAAGAAGTCTCAATGCTGACTGTGTTGTTATTAGTTAAAACAAATAAACAAGACGAAAAAACAGACTTTCTGGCTTACCTAAGATTATTCTATTTCATGATTTAGTAAACCACAAACTGCATTAGAATTGAGTTCCTGCAGAAAGTAATAAAAATTGTATTTAGATTGGGAGTTAAAATTTTAGACAAGAATTTGGTAAACAGACTACGAGATTTAGTGTGTCATCTAATCCACATGCACTAGCTTTAAGGTGACTTTGGGCAAGTTGTTTCGTTTCTGGGACTCTATTTTCTTCTTCTACAAAATGGGGTTGACAGCCTGCCCTCTTTAAAAAGCACTTTGCCATCTGGAGATGAAGCCAGCAGTGAGGACTGGAGTCAGGAGTTCAACACTTCTTGGAGCAGGGCTACATGGCTTTGGAGACTTTTCTTGCAGCTCTTTCTCAATATTAATTTTGAGACAGATGAAGGTTTCAAAGTGATTTTGGCTGCAATGAAGCCTTCAAAGCAATGACACAGCATTGTCCAATGGGTTCTTTAAGACCCATTTTTTCCTGCCTCTGCTTTTACATCTGATTTTGGTTTTCTTGATCTTTGTTTCTGAACAAGGACAGCTTTCAGAAACACAGCTGAGAAGGTGGCAAAGACAGGTTTGTGCCTTGAGGCACTGCTGGTGAAATCAAAGGAAGATCTTTCCTGTGCTGAGCACACAGAGCTGTATGCCAAGGGAATATTTCATGTGGCAACCTGAGCCTGGGGCTCTCCAAAAGCCCCAGCTGGAAGATCACATGGAAAAGTGAATTGTGCATCCCCCAGTCACGTGGGGATCAAAACCCAGCTCGTGCCCCATACAGCCCTTCAGGAGATAAATCCTCTCTGATAATTTTTTTTAAACCCACCATAAAAGCTAAAATATATATTATATATAGAGTTTTGTTCCTCAATTCAAGAGGATCCCAGGAATGTGAGCTCCAAAGAGGTTTAACCAGCTGGTATTGATTCCCATGCTTCTGCTCCTGTCTCATCCCATAAGAGCAGCTTAAATCTGCAGCCAGATCAGAGGCTCTACTCAGCAAAGGTGGTTCCTGAATGATGTGAAGAATCACACAAACTGCCTTTCATAACTTTAAATTTGCTGTAGGGCATCATGTTGGAAGTTAATGTATGCATTCCTATTGTACATCTTAAGCATTATAAAACCAGCTGATTACACAACCCCATCCTGGTAGTCGCACGTGTCTTCTAGCACTCCTGCCACCCCTAACATGCATCCCAGATTAAGTAATCTCAGTTTTGTAATTAGTCTCTCACATGGAGACAAGACCTCCCCTCCCAATGCCTGGTCACCCTGGAGCCTTTAAAAAGCACCTCAAAGGCACCCAGTGATGGGACATCTCTGGATAGGGAGATTTCACCTTCTGGAAGCATGCTGGTGACAGAAGAGGTGTGTGCTCCAGCAGTCCCAGGAGCCACCATGGCCCGGGAGCCCCAGCAGACAGATTTCCAGCTGGTGCGAGTCAAGAGCACGTGGAGCCGCGTCAAGAAAGGAGAAGCCCTTTGCAATGATGAGGACGAGATCACTCACTCTGAGGCAAAAATGTGAGTAGAGGAAGGAGCCTGTGTTGTTCTGGCCAGCCAAACTGGGCAGTCTTCTTGGTGGGATGGAAAAATCATCGTGGGTGCCATGGCGGCTTCAACCCACAGTGAGAGAACTACAGAATTACAGAATAGCTCAGGCTGGAAGGGATCTTTGAAGGTCATCTAATCCAAACCCCTGCCATGGGCAGGGACAACTTCCACTAGACCAGGGTGCTCCAAGCCCCATCCAACCTGACCTATGTGTACAAACCTGTGGACATGTCCTTGGGAACACGTTCAGGATGGCAGCACAGGGGCTTGCAGTGCTCCTTGACACAGCTCAGAGAATTTTATCAACAGCCTCCGTTTTTGTAGACAGGAATTTTCTTTAAACTTCTGAAGACTTACGCAGGGACATCTGTGAGCTGCACTTGGGCTCTTTCTCCCCACTTCTGTGAAACTGCAATCTGTGTATGTAAAAGCTCACGCTCAGGCGTGGGAGACAGATGGGTTTATAGAGGTGGTCACAAGACAAATTAAATGGGTAGGTGGGAAAAATGAACTGTCACTGACAGCAGCAAACCCCTTAGCTCATCCCTCAAACTGTAGAAGTCATCTAATGCTGCTTCAGACTGAGCAGAGACAAAAATTTCCCCCAGGGATACATCCAGCTCTTTGCTGATAGAACATCTCTCCAGTTAATTATCTGTTAATTACAGCAGACTCCTTTTCACAAGCACGTGGAACTCCATTCATGGTGCAGATCTTTTTTAATACAGCTCTCTTCTGCACCTCAGAAGTTTTCCAGCCTTTGTCATACTCAGATTTTAATGACACAAGTCAAACCCTTTTCTCAGCCAGGTCAGAGGGACCTTCACCAGCACTGGCAGGGACCATGCATGAGATCACCCAGGCAGAGCTGCAGCAGGTAGAGCAGGACTTTGGCAGACCCCAAAACAGCCCTGCTGAACCTCAGTCAATAGAAGGATGAACCTAGGGCCCAAGAGCACCCAGAAAAATCCTCAACTGACAGATGCTCCCACAAGGACATGTTCAGCCCCAAATTCCCTGTGATTTTCATACAGCAGAGGGGTAGCAGTTGGTACTGGTTGTACCATCCAGCACTCAAAGTTAATTCCACCAAATAATATTCCAAACCATTCTGTCTCTTAGAAGGGTCACACACCAGACATGAATGCACAGGGAGTCAATTACAGCTATAAGATGGTGCATTAAAATGTAAACAACTGCTTTTTCTGATACCACATTTGAAAAGGCCAGAAAAAATTTTCTGGAAGTTATAAATCCTCACTGGTTTTCTTTAACAGCTATGGAGTTTAAGACTTAGAGACTTAGAAACTATTTTAATAGTTTAAGACTTAGAGACAATTTGGTAAAGAAAGCAGAGAAGCATCTGTTTCAACCTCTAAGTGAATGTTCAGGCATGTGAAAAGAAATTGGGCATGTAGGGAAATCTGATTATCCAATGAATACCACAGAAACTCATTTTTTACTGAAGTGCAGCTCAAAAAACAGTCTTACATAAACTACATTTTACTATTTCCTTCTGCCTGTTTTTTTTTCTCTTTTTTGATTCCCAACATGTTTTTTCCCTAGTTTGGCTATCCCACAGAAGGAAGGGGTTGTAGGTTTATGTTTTTAGCTGGTTTTAGATAGATAATTAATTTTGGCTTTTATTTACTTTTGAAAACTTCAGTATGGAAATGTATCTCAACCCCCAAGTCATTTTCTTTCCCTTTCCAGGAGTACCTACTATTTCTATCACACCTATTTCAAGGTAGAGATCCACTAGTTCTACTAAAGCATTGTAGAAACACTGGTCTGAATGGAGTTGTGTGGCTGTTTATAGCCAGATAGGTATAAATTCACTCCTATCACCCAGATATACCATCAGAGGATGTTTCCTCCATAAACATGGAAAATTTTGGCAACCTCTTCACTTCCCTACTCCCTTTTGGGAAGCTGAAATGATTGGGCTGGCTCATTCTTTATGGGTTTTCAACTTGTAGCATGAAAAACATGTCCCAGTCCTTCTGGGCTGTATCTTTTTAATGGTATGTAGGAATTTGGACACTTAACTCTTCACTAAGACTTTGGAGAGCTTCTCCATGAATAAAATTGCTGAGCTCTGACACCCAGGGGATGTCCCACTCTCACAGCCCCACATTTCTGCAGTGCATGGGCAGGAGATTCCACATTCTTCACCTCCTAGCTACATCCTTAAAGTAGTTCAGACAAGCGAAGGTCAAACTATGAATGTAATGATTTCAAACCATGTTTTCTGATCCTTGCCAGAGGCGAGTGCATCTCCGATGGTGGGATTTCCTGGATAGTTGAAGCTCCTATCTATTTTTGCTACAAAGTGGTAGAAACATACAACATCCTGGAACCCTCTAACACCACTCTGCTCTGGGGTCACATCACTGACCCCCAGCAAATAGAGCTGGCCACCGCCAGCAAGAGGAAACTGCGGCGCTTTATCGTCATCGACGAAGTCGTCGACAAACTCTACGGCTCCAAAGTCAGACAATACTTCGAAGAGAACAACGTCCAGCACAAAATCCTCGCCCTGCCGACCACGGAGGAAACGAAATCCATGGACCTGGTGTTGAACATCCTGCACGAGGTGCAGAAGTTCAGCCTGGACCGGCGGACGGAGCCCATAATCGCCATCGGCGGGGGCGTGTGCCTGGACATCGTCGGGCTCGCCGCGTCGCTCTACCGGAGACGCACCCCCTACATCCGGGTCCCCACCACCCTCCTCTCCTACGTGGATGCCAGCGTGGGGGCCAAGAACGGGGTGAACTTTCTGCAGTGTAAGAACAAGCTCGGGGGCTACACCCCACCCGTGGCGAGTTTCCTGGATAGATCCTTCATCCAGAGCATCCCGCGGCGACACATCTCCAACGGCCTCGGGGAAATTTTAAAGGTATGAGCTTTTGCAACTGCAGTTTTCAAAACTGAAGTCATACAATTGTTTGGGTTGGAAGGGAGCTTTGGAGGTCACCAAATCCAATCCCCCTGTGATGAGCAGGGACACCTTTTACTAGATCAGGTTGCTCAAAGCCCCATCCAGCATGTTCTTGAGTATTTCCAGGAATGGGGCATCTATCAAACTTCTGGAAAACTAATTTCAGGGTTTCACTACCCCCGTTATAAAAAATTTCTTCCTCGCAACTAGCCTGAATCTATCTTCTTTCAGTTTAAACCACTATCCCTTGTTCTGTCACAACAGGCCCTACTAAAAAGTCTGTCCTCATCTTTACTGCCTCTTTTAAGTATTGAAAAGTAAAATGCCCAGAAGCACCCATGGCATTGTAGAAACAACTTAGAGGAATCAAGGTG